ATTTGCAGAGGAAACTGCAGGGTGCTTATTTTATTCTTAAAGGAAAAAGAGTGTTTTTACTCTAAGATCAGAAAAAAGGCAAGGATGCCTACTCCTACCATTTCTGTTAAACATTGCCCTAGAGGGTCCATCCAGGGCAATAGGGCAAGAAAAAGAAATAAAGGCAGACTGACTGGAAAGGAAGAAGCAAAACTGTCTTGCACAATACATGATTGTTTATGTAGAAAATCCTATGGAATCTACAAAAAAGCTACTAGAACTAATGAGTTTATCTAGATTGCAGGATACATGTTTAATGGAAAAAAAGCAATTGTATTTCTATATACTATCAGTGAATAGTAAGAAGTTGAAATAAAAAATATACCATAAAGAGTAGAATATTTAGGGGAAAATTTAGCAAAAGACTTTGTAATGTAAGTCCTGACAGTTTTTTTTGTAATGCAAATGCATGACTTAAGCTTTGATTGCTGAATCATCAGTCTCAAAAAGGCATCCATTTGAAAGAGGCATCCACTTCAAAGAGGGCTTATTTCCAATAAACATGCTGCCAGCCACAGGACTAGATAGGGGCAGGTGCTCCCTACCCTCACCGAGGATCCTTTGTTTTACAGATTTTGGTTGATTTCAATAACTGAGCATTTAGGCTACTTGTTTTCTCTTACCACCTTTTAAATTCATTGATAATGAGTGAGCCGGCAAAACCCTAGGCCCCCTACCCTTGACCCCAATAAAAGCAGAGCCCGGGTACCTGTCTCTTTCTCCCTTCCTCCCTCCCTCCCTCCCTCCCTCTCTCCTTTCTTTCTTTCCTTCCTTCTTTCCTTTCTCTCTCTCTCTCCCTCTCTGTGTCTGTCTATGTCTCTGTGTCTGTGTTTGTCTCTTTCTCTCTGTCTCTCCCCACCCCATCTGCCCCCACACAAAAACACAACCTTGCTCTGTAGCCTTAAGTGAGTTGTGACATTTTTAGGTCTTGTAAGTAACAAATCTTTATCTTCTCAAAGTTTCCTCATGGTTATTGTTGAAGGGAATCTTGCAATCATATTAAGAACCACAAAGGCTGGTCCAGACACAACATTCATTATTGATAGGCTGAGACAAATACAAAACAGACTTCCAACTCCTTTACACTGAAAAGCACTAAATATTACTGAGAGAAATTAAAGATCTACATAGATGAAGATATATACCATGTTCATGGATTAAAACACTCAATATAGTTACAATGTCAGTTCTCCTCAAATTAATCTATAGATGCAACGAAATCCCAATCAAAATGCCAGGAGGCTTTGGGGGAGGGGTAAAAATAGACATTCAAAGGACCTAGAATATCTAAACAGTGTTGTAATAAAAGAACAAAGTTGGAGGGCTTAACACTACTTGATTTCAAGGCTTATTATAAAGCTACAGTAATCAAAACAGCATGATGTTGGCACCAAGATAGATCATTGGAATAGAATAATCAAGAAATAGAGGAAGAGTGAGAGCTTACTGACAGCAAGAGGCCTAAAGGGCATAATGAGGATGGACTATACCAAGTGTAACTAGTCATTTATTTAAATAATCGCCAACCCTTTTCTGCAATACTTTTGTGTCCGTGACATTTTGCACATCAGCAAGTATATCTATAGTGTTAAAGGTGGTCAGTGTGGTCAGATCCTAAAGGTGGCACTTGATTGAAGGCAGATTTTCATACTTGCTTATGCAGTGTCTAGTGCAGTGCCTGGTGTCTAGTAGGTGCCAAATTAATATTTTTCGAATTAATGAAGCCCATGAGAGCCACACAGAGATGCATGATCTCTGAAGTGCAGACAGAATCACAGGTGCAGATATAGCCACATGTTAATATGAGCTGATATTTACCCAGTGCTTCCTGTGGGCACTGTGCTGAGCACCGGATAAGCATGGCTTCATTTTATGATCTACCAGGTAGAAATGATTAGGATTTGTGTTTTGCAGATGAGGAAACTGAGAAACAGAGAAGTTCAGTACTTTGTCCAAGGTTCAGTACTCTCTGTCCAGTAAGTGGTAGAAGCAGGATTTGCACCCAGGCCAGCTTGGCTGACTTTAGAACCTATAGGTCTCTGCTACTATACAAGACACACACAAGCCCAGAGAGACTCAAGGACATACAGAGATGCTTTTTGGTCACAAGAAAGCCAGTTCAAAACGCAGAAGCAATGCCACGTGGACGTGTGCTCACACAATCTCAATGCGCATGCACGCACGTGCACACACACACACACACACACACACACACTATACACACCTTGTCCTAGAAACACAGACATATTCAATGATGGCCACTCTTTACTGTCAAATATTGACTGACATTCATACAATCACCATAACTCAAGGCACCAGATCCAGTGCATGTATGGTCATAGTCACACAGACACATACCCACTCCGGAAACCACAGACACACAGCAACAGCCCCCACAAGCCCATCCTGTTACACACAATCTGTACACAGTCACACCCAGTCATACGATCACGTGCAGTTAGATGTATATACCACCTTCCTGACAGCTATAATGCCCCCAGGTTATCCAGTTACACAAACACAGAATCACACCCACTGATTTTCAAGGAGGAGGCGGGGCTGGGAACGGCAGTCTCGGGGAGGGCCCTCAGACTGAGCTGCTCTGGACAGCGGCACGGAGTCCTGCGCTGGGGTTGCCGGGCAGAGCGCGCCTGGGCGCCACTTCGTGATCTGCCATTGGCCGGAGGCCTTGCTCCCTGGGAAGGCCCGGCTCCCTGTTCTCTCCCAGCCACTGAGGAGCAAGTCGGCTCACGGAGGGGGACGGTTCTCCTGGGACACGGGACTTTCACTATTAAAACTGGGGAGGCCCCGGGCAAACCGGGAAGAATCCGGCGAGGCTACTCTGCCGCAGGAGTGGAGGGCTGGGCAGGATGCCTCCCGTTCCTGAAGGTTGCATCAGGGCATGCCCACTGAAACTAGACTATTTATTTTTAGTTGTAGAAATACATGCCCACAGTGAAAAACAGACAACGAAACCATCACATCATCATCATCTAGACAAAAACCTCAAGCATCAAGGGTGAGACTCTGGCCTACCTGAGGCACCCAGTACCCTATCCCTTTAACAATGCCTTGTATAGCCCATGCATATATAAGCCTATTAAAGGACCCTTTTGGAAGTCCTGGCAGGTAACTTGTGTCCCACTTGGAAGAAGGCAGCAGTAGCCTCCTCGGGCTTTCAGGCATCCGTGCCGACCCCTCCCACCCACTCTCTGCGAGCAGCTACAGAGGTCACAGATCATATCCCCTTTGCGCAGTAGCCTGTGGTAGTTCCCTGCTCAGAGTAAAAGCCCTGGATTTGGCCCCTGTTTACCTCTCTGACCTAAACTCTTATGATACTTTCCATCACTCACCTCCCTAGAACCCCACTGGTTTTCCTTCTAGATGCCATGTGTGTAGAAGCCTTTATACTGGCTGTTCTCTCTGCCTGGAACACTTCCTTGAGATTGATCCCACAATGACTAAACTAGTATCTTTGCTTCTTCCAAGCAGGTTTTCTAAGCCCCAATGTCACCCCCTTGAAGAGGCCTTCTTCAGAACACCCCATAGAATACCCCTCTCAACTCGCTATCCCTTTACTTTGTTTTATTTTTCTTCAGAGAAGAAAATATGTCATTTACTCTCTGACATATTTATTGGCTCCCTTCCCCATTAGAATGTCAGCTTCGTGATGGCAGGAATTTATGCCTGGCACACAATAGGTGCTCAATAAATATTTGTTGAATGAATGAGTGAACAAAGCAGAAGTACATAATCGATAATAAGGAGTGGTGGGGACTGTGAGACCTGGAGAGGATGTGTCCACTCCAAGCCCCTCTCTCGCGCCCGCGCCCGCGCGCGCTCTCTCTCTCTCTCTCTCTCTCTCTCTCTCTCTCTCTCTCTCACACACACCCCCACCAATACACACACACACACACACACACACACACACGTTGTGTCTGCAAGCCAAAAAGTTTGGGTTGCCAGTTTCCATCTAAATTTGTGAATATTAGAAAGCATTAAACAGAAGAGGATACATACCATTTAATACCTTACTACATTTGTTTGAAGGTTCCTCCTAGTGTCTTCCCCTGCAGCTAAAGGCCAGGAGCAAGAATCTGCCTTGAGTCGAGCAGGTTGGCAGTGAGGGAGAACCCACAGCGTGGGCAACTACAGGCAGATCTGGGCTTGTGTTAGGTGTTTTAGGGATGGTTTAAGGAAGTGAAGTTTTCTTCTAAATACTTTCCAGTAGTGGGGGTAATTTTATGATTGGGTATGCTAATGAATCTTCTCTATAAGAGAGAACAGACCAGAGAGATGCTAAAACTGTCATTGGTTAAAAAAAAAAAAAAGAGCAGCCTCTCATATTAATCAAGATAGGAGATGTTTGGTTAATTTTAATTTTGTAATTTGGACGTTTACATTGTTTGTGTTCAAACATGATTATGGAGTCGTTTCAATTTTGTCTTAATCTATCATGGTCACTGAGTGGCCTTGTCAGATATTGACATTCTGTGAGATATTTATGTTCAACAGAACATCAAGGTCTAAATCTGAAAGCCAGGCCAGCTCCCAGAAGTTAGAGGGTGCCTTTCTCTGTCAGTAGATATTACAAAATTACTCATCGTAGAGATAGTATCAATTTCTCAGCAGTGTATAACAGTGCCTGTTTCTTCATGTTCTTTCCCACCCATGTTAATATACACACACGTATATATTTCGGTTTGGTAAGTGGTTTTCATTGCGCTTTTAATGGAATGGACCTTTGATTATTACAGAGGTAGTAATTATCACAGAGGTAAGCATTTACATGCTTATTGCTCATTTATATTTCTTTTGTGAATTGCCTTTTCACATCCTTGCATGTTT